ATACCAATTATTATAGTAATAACCATGACAATAATAATAATAATAACAATAATAATTATAATAATATTAACAATAACAATAATAATAACATAACAATAATTAAAATAATAACAATATCAATAATCATAATATTAATAACAATAATAATAACTATAACAAAAACAATAATAATAATAACAATATCAATGATAATAATAATAACAATAACGATAACAATATTAATAACAGTAACGGTAATAATAACGACAAAAATAATAATATTAACATTAAAAAAATAATAACAATAACAATAACAATAATAATTATAATAACAATAACATTAATAATAATTACAATAACAATAATAATAATAAAATCAATAACAATAATAATAACAATAACGATAATAATAAATATATCAATAACAATAATAATGAAAATAACAATAACTGTAATGATAATAACTGTAACAATAATAATAATAATAAAAATAAGATTAATAATAAGAATATCTATAATAATAACAATATCAATAATAATAAAAATAATAATCTCAATAACAAAAATAATAACAATAACAAAATAATAATAATAGCAATAGCAATAATAGTAATAATAGCAATAACAATAATAATAAATACAACAATGACTATAATAATAATAATAACAATAGCAACAATAATAACAACAATAACAATAATAATAATTAAAATAAAAATATTAATAATAATAACAATAATAATGAAAATTAGAGTAACAATAATAATAACCGTAACAATAACAATATAATAATTATATTAATAATGATAATAATAACAGTAACATTAATAATAATAATAATAACAATAATAATAATCATAACAATAACAATAATAATAATAATAACGATAACAGTATTATTAATATTAACCACAACAACAATAAGAATATAAACAAAACTAATAATAATATCAATAGAAGTAATAATAATAATAACAAAAACAATAATAATAATAATAATAACAATAACAATAATAATAATAACAATAAGAATAATAACAACTATAGCAATAGCAATAATAATAACAATAATAACAACAATAAAGACTGCAATAATAACAATAATAACAATACAAATAATCATAACAGGAACAATAACAATTTTATAATGGCTATAACAATAACAATAATAATAACGATATCAATAAAATTAAGAACAACTATTTCAATAATATTAATACTAACAGTAACAATAATGATATAAACATTAACAATAATAATAAAAATAACAGTACGAATAACAATGATAGTGACAATTATAGTAATAATAACAATAACCATAATAATAATAACAATAATTATAATAATAATAATAATAATAATAATGACAATAATAATAACAAGAACAATAACAATAATAATAACAATAACATTAATAATAAAAATAATAGTAACAATAATAATAATAATAACAATGACAATAATAATAATAATAACAATAAAAATAATGATAATAATAACAATAACAATAATAATAACAATTAGAATAATAATAATAATAACATTAGCAATAATAATAATAGTTTGAATAATAATAATTATAACAATAAAAAAATAATAATAATATCAATAATCATCATCATAACAATAACAGTAATAATAATAATAACAATAACAATAGTAATAGTAATGACAATATCAATAAGAATAAAAATAAAAATATCAATAAAAATAATGTTAACTATTACATTAACCATAATAATAACAATAACAATAAGAATAATAATAATCATAACAATATAAAAGACAATAATAATAACAATAGCAATAATAATAATAATAACTATAACAATAATTTTAATAATAACAAGAACATTAATATTAATAACGATAAGAATAATAGTAATAATGACAATAACATTAACTATAATAATAACAATAACAATAACAATAAAAACATCAATAATAATAATAATAACAATAATAATAGAAATAACAGAAACAATATAAATTATAATTACAATAACAATAATAATATTAATAACAATAGCAAAAAAAATAATAATAACAATAAAAATTACAATTATTATAACAATCACAATATTGATAATAATGACAATAACAATAATAATAATAATAATAGCAATAACAATATCAATAGTAAGAACCATGGCAAATAATAATAATCATATCAATAACAATAATAATAACAATAACATTAATAAAAATAATAATAATAATAATAATAACAATGACAATAATAATAATAATAACAATAGTTACAATAGTAACAATGACAATAACATTAATAATCATAATAAAAATAATAATAATAATAACAATAACTATAATAATATTAATAATTTTAACAGAAATAATAAAAATAATAATAATAATAATAACAATAATAATAAGGATAATAATACTAATAATAATAATAATAATTATAGCAATAATATTATTAATAAAATTAATAATAATAATACTAATACTATTAATAATGATAATAATAATAAAAATAATAATAATAATGACAATAACAATAATAATAATAATAACAATAGCAATATTAATAATAATAATAATAACAATAATAATTTCTTTTTTTTTTTATGGTCTGAGAATGACAATCTTTACGCACTAACCCATGGACCCCGTCCGCCAGTGGTGCCCTTCACTCTTTGGTTCCTTCTTTGAGGTCCCTGGAGTGTCGGGCTCACCTTTGAAATAGACACTACCGACTAAGCTCATGTACTCCTTGTGGCATAGTGAAACCATCCCGGCACCGCCCTGTGGCATTACTTCGGGATGGCGCTACTGCATCAGGTCCCATTACGGGACTCTCCCTTCGGCTCTACTGGGTGGGAGCTTGGTGCTACGTTTGGGGCACGTCTATGTGCCACCCATCTCCATCTTTTTTCTGTACAAGGTTATCCTGACGTACCGGACCACCTTGTTCCACTCCTGCTGATCTCGGAGTATTTTCTCGACAATGTTGTCTGAAGCGATTTTTCCGAGGTCTTGCTCCAAGGCGAGTCCTAAGACACTCCACCTATCACATTTGATGGATGTGTGGTGGGCGTCGTCGAAAGTCGTGTCGTCATAGGGGTAGTTGCCGTCTGCTTCCTTCCTTATTTTTGCGAGGAAGGAGCAGAACAGACCATGCCCTGTCAAAGAATTGAGTGAGATAGAAGCCGACCTCCCCCACCTCTCTGTTTAGAGATTATTATTATTATTATTATTATGATTGTTATTATTGTTATTATTATTATTATTATTATTATTATTATTATTATTATTATTATTATTATTATTATTATTATTATTATTATTATTATTATTATTATTCCCCTCAGTGGGTAGGGGGAAGTAGAATACTCCCACAGTACACCCTGTTTGTCGTAAGGGGCGACTAGAAGGGACTGTGTAAATAGCGTGTGAATGTGATCGAACGGCTATTCCTTCCTTTTTTCTCTTATTATATATTTTTCTATTCTTTCTCTTACTCTCTAGCTTCCTTCCTTTCTTATCCATTCTATTGGCGAACTTACCTCCCAAAAGTACATTACTCATCATGAATAGTACAGCGAATGATAATAGCTGGCGTGGGAGGGACACCCACGCCTCGGCGTTGTCTGGTGGTGGTAGGGCAGGCCACGCGCCGTCGTCATCCAGCATCTGGCAGGAGTTTGGGGTAGGAAATCTGGCCCCAGCTCTGGATAATGCATCAGGAAGTGCACCACAATTAGGCGACCTGGTCTGCGGTGTGACGAAAGTGCCAGGAAAGGTAAAATATGAATATGGCCACTTGGAGGAATGGCAGAGGTCTGCCAGGGCCGTTGATGGCTTTCGGCTCTCCGGCTTGACCGCACCTATCCAGCCTGCGAAGGGGACAACCCATGATGGAGGGAGTGAGAAATTCGCGCAAGCGAAATCCCTCCTTGCTAAAATGAAGTCTACTATTACTAGACAGCCAAACGTGAACAACGCTATTAAGCAAGGTCTCCCAGAACTTGAGGACATCATTGACAGTCTCGAGTTTATGTATAAATCTCGAAAAAAGGTCAATATGGGAGCGAGGACCCTCACCCGAGTTTCACAGAGCCCTCGGGCAAATTCTACGACTGAGCCCAGCGCAGTTAAGAGAGTAGCCTCAAGCCCGGCGCAGTTGTCTGAAGAAACCCTCAAAAGACCGAGACAAGAGTCTACGACTACGAAACGAAATAAGGAGAAACCAGAGACGAAGGCGACGAAACACCTATTTCAGGAGAAAAAGAAGCCGAACAAATCGGAGGATATGCCGAGAAAGAGTACTAGGCCGGACGCAATCCTCCTGAAACCTGCGCAAGGAAAATCTTACGCAGACGTAGTCGGAGTCATCCACCAGCGCATCAAGACCAGCGCCTCAGGGGTAGACATTAGATCGTTCCGGCAGACTAGAACCGGAGGGCTTCTCCTCGAACTAAAGAAAACCACTGTAGATATAAGAGCCTCATTCGCGGAAACCCTGAGAAAAGAGGTAGGAGAAACGAGCAGCATCACGGAACTGGTCCCTAGAGCTACTCTGGAGATACAGGACTATGACTGCTGCACCTCGTCGATAGAAGTCGAGGAGGCCCTAAACAGGACCTTGCCAGGCTACGCGGAGAAAATCGAAATTAAGATTACGAACCCCAACGCAAGACAACAACGCCTGGCCCTCGTCAAAATAGAAGAGGAAGCAGTTGCGCAGCTTTTAAAGGCCGGCCGAGTGCTGATCGGTTTCATCAGCTGCAGCGTCATGCGAAGGGCAGAAGTGAGGCGATGCTATTGCTGTCTCGACTATGGTCACTATAGTGCCTCGTACAAGGGACCTGGTCGCAGTAAAGTTTGCTATTATTGTGGCAGCACGGGGCACAAGATCAAAGATTGCAAGATCAGCGAGCCTACTTGCTTCTTGTCCTCAAAGAGCGGTGTTGAAACTAGGAAGTACCTGGCGGGATCAAGGGTTTGCAAAGCTTTCCAGGAGGCCCTTGAAACAGCAAAAATGTAGAGATAAAAGGATGAGAGTACTTCAGGGTAACCTGTATAGGAGCAGGACGGCGCATCACCTTCTAGCCCAGCTTTGCTCTGAGAAAAAAGCTGATGTTGTTCTAATCAGCGAACAGCACCAGGACAGGGCAGGAGTAGGATGGTACGCAGACAAATTAGGCACCGCGGCCATCTGGATCCCAGATCCCCGACTAATACATGTGTCGGACCAAGGATCCGGACGCAGTTACGTTTGGGTGAGACATAACTCGACGACTTATGTCAGTGTATATCTCACTCCGAACGACCGGATAGACGACTTCCAGATCAAACTGGACGATCTGGAAGACGCGCTGCGGGAAATGCAAGGAGATCTCATTGTGGCTGGAGACCTCAATGCCAAAGCTCTCGAATGGGGGGAGGTCAGGCCGGACTCCAGAGGAAGACGTATCATGGAGGTGGCGTCGAGACTGGAGCTATCAGTACTCAACACAGGTTCGACGTTAACATTCCGCAGGCCTGGCTACAGAGAGACGATCCCGGATGTCTCTCTAGCCAGCGAACACCTTGTGGCAAGAGTCGCTGGCTGGCAGGTGATCGAAGATTATACCGGGAGCGATCATAAGTACATCCTATTCGATGTACATGATAGGAGGCCAGCCGTGACAAGTGTAAAGCGACCCCCCCGGAGGAACATTACAAGAATGTATCGAGAGAGGCTGTCTTCGGTCATAGAGGAAGGATGGAGATCCCAACAAAGTACTTCCTCGAGTCTATCGCCACCCGCACAGGCCAGGTTGATTAGCGCAGCAACCATACAGCTCATCCGAAAGGCTTGTGCGATAACGGTGCCAAAGAATGGCGCGAAACGGTAGAGGCGCCCTGTATACTGGTGGATGAACGAAAGCGCAGATCTTCGTAAGAAGTGCTTAAGGCTACGCAATTTAGCACAACGAGCGAAGAGACGCGACCACGATGCTGTTCCTTTAGCCGCCGACTATCAAGCGGCCAAGAAAGCCCTAAAGAGGACCATCAAGACCAGTCAACGACCGTGCTGGTAGGAGCTGTGCCTGGATGTCGACCAGAATCCGTGGGGATTAAGGTACTTCATCGTCACTCGCAAGCTGGGGACTAACATGAAAGGGACCCCTCAGGACGCGAGGACGTTGGATCACATCGTGCAAACTCTATTCCCCCCACAGCCGAAGAGAGAGATCAGCTTGGATGCGCCCGGAATAAGCGAGGTACCGCAATTCACGGAAGAAGAGCTACTTAGGGCCGAATCTTCTATGCGGAACAAGAAAGCTCCAGGTCCAGACAGACTTCCAGCAGAAATAATTAAGGTCGTCGCGCAAAGTCACCCTGAGCTCTTGCTGAACATGTATAACACGTGCCTCAGAGGGGTCAGCTTCCCAGCTTCATGGAAGAAAGCGAGACTTGTGCTCATTAGCAAGGGCAAGGGTCCAATAGGGGCAGCTTCATCATACAGGCCTATTTGTATGCTCGATACGGCTGGAAAACTCCTGGAGAAGCTGCTAAGGTCAAGACTGCACGCAGTCGTGAAGGCAGCGGGGTATCTTGCCGGCCGCCAGTACGGATTCCGATCCGGCCTCTCCACCATCCACGCAATCCAGGAGGTGGTCTCGGCCGCTAAAATGATGGAGCGACGCAATGATCGAACTCGACCTCTGTGCCTGATGGCCACCTTAGACGTGAGAAATGCCTTCAACTCCGTCAGGTGGGACCTGATAAGGGAAGCGCTCGAATTTTGGCGTTCCGAAGTACCTGCTCCGAATCATTAACGATTACCTAAACGAGCGCTTCCTAGTATACAACATGAGTGATGGTCCAAGAAGCTTGGAATTGACATCGGGGACAGCCCAGGGCTCCATACTGGGACTGGATATATGGAATATATTCTACGACGTTATCTTTCGTATGGCAGTCCCAGAAGTTACTTTCTTGGTTGGGTACGAGGATGACATTGTAATTGTCATAACCGCAAGAGACACGAAGGGGGCCCAGTTGCTGCTTAACCAGGTCATGCGGAGAGTTACCTCCTGGATGGAAGACCACCGCTATCTCTAGCAGCCCAGAAGACAGAGATCGTGCTAATTACGAGAAAGCGCATCAACATCTTGCGGAGCTTCATTGTAGGAGACGCGGCGGTCCAGTCTAAGTCGGCTCTCAACTATCGCGGGGTTATGCTTGACAAGCATAACTATGGATATCATATTATCAGGGCTGCCGACAAGGCGGCAAAAGTAGTAGCCTCACTGGGCATGCTCATAGCCAATGTCAACGGTCCCCGGCCGTGCATGAGGAGACTACTGATGAGTGCCACCGAATCAGTGATGCTGTACGGTGTGTAAGTATGGGCAGAGGCGCTGCGAAAACAGAAATACCGCAAACGCAAAGCCGCGGTACAGAGTAGATGCGCCCTCCGAAAAGCGTGCTCTTACCGCACGTCCTCAGAGCCGGCAGTGGTAGTTGTCGCCGGGCTAATGCCGATCGATCTATTAGCCCAGGAGAGGAAATTCGTACAATTCGTACACCAGCAAAGGTGTGTCCTGGGAAAGGAGGAGGCATCAAGGCTCGCCAGGTCTATCGGCATCAAGGCCTGGCAAAGTAGATGGGAGCAGGAACGTAGGGGCACATGGACTGCTCGACTCATAAATCGGGAGGCAGGAGAAGTCGATTTCTACCTCACCCAATTCCTGACAGGGCATGGCCTGTTCTGCTCCTACCTGGCTAGAATGAGGAAGGTAGCAGACGCCAAATGCCCCTATGGGGACTCAATCAACGACGACGCCCACCACACGTTTTTTATATGTACTCGGTGAAGCGCCGAATAACTAGCCTTGGAACACGACCTCAGGGACATCTCGCCGGACAACGCCGTCGAGAAAATGCTGCGTGGGCAGAAGGAGTGGAACAAGGTGGCCTGGTACGTCAGGTCAATATTAAGTAAGAAGAAGAAGGAGATGAGTGGCCCATAGAAGAGACACCAACGTTGCTCCAGGTTCCTGTCACGTAGAGCCGAAGAGTGACAAGGAGCAGTGGCGCCATCCTGAAATAATGCCACATGGCGGTGCCGGGATGGATTTACTATGCCACTAAGATGGATATAAGTTTAGTCGGTAGTGCCAATTCCAAGGGTGAGCGCGACACTCCAGGAAATTTAAGTGGGACCCAAATGGGGAAAGGTCCCTCTGGCGGGCAGGGTCCCTGGGTTAGTGCGTAAAGTTTGGCATTCTCAGACCATCAAAAAAAAAATATTATTATTATTATTATTATTATTATTGTTATTATTATTATTATTATTATTATTATTATTATTATTATTATTATTATTATTATTATTATTATTATTATTATTATTATTATTATTATTATTATTATTATTATTGTTATTGTTATTGTTATTATTATTATTATTATTGTTATTGTTATTGTTATCGTTATTGTTATTGTTATTCTTATTATTATTATTATTATTATTATTATTGTTATTGTTATTGTTATTGTTATTACTATTATTATTATTATTATTATTATTATTATTATTATTATTATTATTATTGTTAATATTGTTGTTATTATTATTATTGTCATTACTGTTATTATTATTATTATTATAATATTATTGTTATTCTTGTTATTATTATTATTATTATTATTATTATTATTATTATTATTATTATTATTATTGTTATTATAATTTTTTTTACCTTTATTCACGTCATTATCGTCATTGTGGTTATTATCGTTATAAACCTTATTATTATTATCTTCGATATTTTCGTTATTAATATTATTATTATTATAATTAGAATTATTATTATCGTTATTATCTTTATCGTTTTTATCGTTATTATATATATTACTGTCTTTATTGTTATTTTTGTTATTATCGTTTTTATCGTTATTACCGCTTTTAACGTTATAATGTTATTATCATTATAACCGTTATTATTGTTATTATTGTTATTATAATTATTAACGTTTCATCGTTGTTATTATTTTTATTATTATTATTATTATTAACATTATCGTTATTATCGTTATTGTTGTTATTATCGTTATTATCTTTACATTCATTATAATATAGGATTTTATTTTTATCGGTATTATTAATGTTATTATTATAATTGTTATTATCATAAATTGTTATTAACAATATTAGCGTTATTATGGTTAATATTATTATCGTTAGTAACGTTATTATCAACATTATACTTATTACTGTTACCATAATCGTTATTATCTTTATAATTGTTTTTATCTATATTATTGTTATCACTTTCATTATGGTTGTTATCGCTATTACTTTTTTTAACGTTACTATTGTTATTAATATTATTATTATTATAATTATTATTATAAATCCTATTATTATTATTATTATTATTATAGGTCTACCGTCTTTGTTGTTATCATTATTAATGTTTTTATCCTTACTATCGTCATTACCATTAACCGCTATTATAGATATTCTTGTTATAATCGTCATTATCACTATTATCTTTAATATATTTATTATCGTTATTACGGTTATTATGTTTATTATCAATATTATCGTTTTTATCGTTAATATATTCATTTTCTTTACAATCGTTCTTATGTTTATTATCATTATTATCTTTATTATTATTACTATTATTATTATTATAATTATTTTTATTATTATTATTATTATTTTTACTTTTATTATTTGTATTAGCATCATTATCTACAATAGTGTCTTTACCTACACTAACGTTATTATTAATATCGTCGTTGTTATCGTCATTATTATAATTATTATTGTTATTATTATCGTTATTATCGTTATGATCGTTTATTATTATTATCGTTATTATCGTTATTACCGTTAATATCGATATTATAGTTATTATCGATATATTCGTTATTATCGTTGCTATCCTTCTTATTGTTATTTTTTTATTAACGTTAATATTATCAATAGCAATATTACCGTTATTATCATTATTATCGATATTATCGTAATTACCGTAATTATCGTTATTTTCTTTATAATAATTATTATCGTTATTATTATTGTTATTAACGATCTCTGATTTTAGCGTTATTATCGATATCATCTTCATTATAATTATTGTTATTGTTATTATCAATAAAATTGGTAATATCATTATTATCGTTTTATAAACTATTTTTTTCATTGTCGATTTTATTATTAATAATATTAATTTCATTGATATTTTCGTTATTTACGTTATTACTCTTATTTTCGTTATTATTCTTATAATCGTTATTATCGTTACTATAGTCATTGCAGTTATTAATGTAATTATTATTCTTAAAGTTATTACTATTATTATTATTATTATTATTGACGTTACTGTTATTATTACAGTTATTATTGCTACTAGAGTTAATGTTGTTATTACCGTTATTAACGTTATTATCGTTATTATTGATATTTTCTATATTATTATTATTATTATTATTATTATTATTATTATTATTATTATTATTATTATTATTATTATTATTGTTATTATTGTTATGATCGTTTTTATCCTCATTATCTTTATTAACGTTATTATTAAGATTATTATTATTATAATGGTTGTTAACGGTATTACCGTTATTATCGTCACTATCTTTATAAACGTTTTTACTATTATCATCGTTATTTTCGTTATTATAGTTTATATTATTATTATTGTTATAATTGTTATTATCTTTATTATTATGATTATTATCTTTATTATCGTTATTAGCGTTATCTTCGCTATTATTGTCATTATCGTTATTATCGTTAGTACTGTAATTAAAGTTATTATTGTTATTGTTCTCATTATAATAATTATTATTATTACAATTATTATTATTATTATCGTTTCTACCGTCATAATTATTAGTATTGGTATTATTGTCGTATTAACATTATTATTGTTATTATCGTCATTACCGTTATTATCGTAATTATTGTTATTAAAGGCATAATAGTTATTATTATTATTATCATTATTACTATTATTACCGGTATTATCGTTTTTACTATTATTATTATTGTTAATAATATCGTTACTATCGTTTTTATTGTTATTATCGATAATATTGTTAATAAAGTCATTAACGTTTTAATTATTATTTTCGTTATTA